TGCAAAATCATGTTAAATAAATATCATGAAATTAAAAATTCTGACATCTTTCTTTTTGAATTTTTAACATTGCGCCCACGAGTACCAACAAGATGGTCAACGGTAGGTGGCTTTTCTTCACTATTACTTCATATAACCATGCACATAATAACGATTACAAAATGGCGGCCAAAAAAGATCCTTTGTTAGAGCAAGCGGATAGTTTATGGAAAATGCTAGACGATCTAGCTGATACAAACCCAGAGGGGTACAAGAAATTAATAGATAATGTTATCAAGGAACAGAAGGAATGCTGGAAACCTCCCGAACCTGTATTTTCCTTTCGTACTGTCAAGGTAAAAAATATTGTATTCAAAATTTTGCTTAATTTATAAAGCGTGAATTTATATGTTACACAGTACATTGTACAGTACAAAAACAAGTACATAATTTACTTGTGATGTGTTCAGCCTTAAGAACCGTTTAAAGAAAAGAATGTATATTTAATACAGAAAAATTTTCTATAAAATTATTATTTGTTGTGTTACCTAGCAACGAATTGTAATTATTTTAACAAATTGCATCGTAGTACTTCATGTAACCCGTTTTATTCAAAATGTGGGCCAAAATGAATGGGATCAAATTTCATTGTGAAATATCTCTTTCAGTTACCAGAATCGAGCAACCATCATGTGTTTATCAACATATGTAAATGGGAACGGGTATCAAAGCCAAAAACTGACGACACCAAAATTTCGGTGGTGGCCAGCAACTTACGCGACTTACCCGGCTACAGCTCGAAGCATTCGATCATGGATATATGTTTTCACCACGACATCATCGACCAAACAAGAAAAGATTCTCAATGTTGGAAATTTGTTGCCATGTTAGCACTTGATTATATTGAGAAACAAACGGGTATCAAATTATCAAAAGCATACAAAGTGTTAAGCATTAAATACAAAGGTGACATAGAGGAACTTAAGAGGTATCTATTCAGTCGTAGTTTTGGAAATAGACCGTTGGCTACGCCGGTTGATCAGATGTCCAGTCGAACCGAGAGTAACTCCATTTTAGATGGACTCTCCAGAATTGTCCAGAATGGAAAAGAGCCAAAAGCAAGTGGGATACCAAAAGATTTCAAGGGCTTGCCGAGCGAGACACTTGTTGGAAAGAGAGAGGAGATACCAAAGAAACCATTAATTCAAGAAGTATCAACCAGTAAGCAAGTCAAAGCTGTGCCAAAGAACAATGTTCCAAAACACAGTATCGAGGTGGTTACAGCCACCAGTGAGAGACCTAAATGCATTATGGTCAAGATGGACTTACCAGAGATCCAGTCTGGTGCCGAATGTGAACTTGATGTTTCTAAGGTTAGATGCAATATATTTTGGTGACACAATAGGTTAATGATCACCTTTTTTAATGACGATGACTGATCTGATCCGTGAGAATTTTTTGCTGAGATTAATTAGCTAATACTAGTTGTGACATTTTAGCAGTAAATGCATAGGATGTTTTATAAAAAATACTGGAACATTTTTTGCAGGCAAGAGTATAAGCATTTGCAGTTTTGGTACTAAAATTAGTTTAGAAGCTCAGGTAGTCAGGTTTTACTTTTGCAGTGAGTCTGGATCAATAAGACATATGGCTCTAACTGGATCATAGGGAAAACAGTTTAGATTAACTTACTATAAAGTGATCTGACTAAAATATGGCCTTGGATATAAGTGAAACATTACAATTTCATGTACATGGTGTTCCCAAAAAAACAAAAGAATAATTTCATTCTTATTATAATTATTATTATTTCAGCAAGATCTTGTGTTGTGTTCAGCCAAATATTCCAAGCTTCACCTACAGCTACCACAAGAAGGCAATGAAGATGAGACAACTTCAACATTTAATAAGACCACTCATGAACTTACTATAATAATCCCTACAGCACAAACTTGACTTGAAACTACCCCCCAATGTTAAATAAAACATGTAACCACAGGGCTTGAAATAATTACAGCCGATCACTGATCAATGCATGATCAGCAAGAAATTGCTTATGATCGGCACAAAAGCAGGGTTTCTAACCTGAAAAAGCAGGGAAAGTCATGACTGCCAATCACCATGATTGGGAACTTTGAGAATGTTATTTCAAGCCCTGAATCATTGGCATACAACTGTATTACGAACCTCACAGACATGCATGGACATTGAAATAAAAAAAATAAAAAAAGAAAAAAAAGAAATTATTTAGAAATATTCCATGCTAGAATATTACGTTAAATTGATATAATTTAGTTGTCACCATTTTGTTATATAGATTAAAAACACTGTATTTATTATTATATATAAACATAACGTTTTAATACAAATTATATTGTATTTAAAAAAAAATTGAGTCTAGATTATGTTACAATCACTGATAACATTTGGGTCATTCCAGAAACATTCATACCACCCCCACGGAGGAAATTGGAAGTTAATTAATCCCCCTATCCCTTTCAGATGCCCTAATACACTTAATATTACCAGAAACAATTTTTTCTTTCCTCCCTCCCGGAGGGCAGGAATTTCCTGGGGGGGGGAGGGCCGGGGGGGGGGAGTGTGGATCTTTTCTGGAGCAATCAAATTGTCACATTCATCTAAGTTCATTGGTGTAATTATTTTTCCATTGTTTTTGCAGTATGGAGTCAAACTGTATTATTTGTATTGTAAAAATAAATTTGCCAGTACATTATCACTTGTCTTAATTGCCTGAAAGTACTTTAATTAAACCTTTGATAATAAGCCAGAATCTGGAGATGACGTCTTAACAAGCGCTTGTACTTCCTTGAAGTTAGGATGTTTAGCATTGCCAAGTAAACCAAATAGAACCGACTCACTTGTTGTGATAAATGCTCCACTTTGACGAAGACGCTGAAATATTAAAATACATTAAAATTTTTTATCAAAGCCAATTAAACAGGTCCAATGAAATTTTGTGAAAATATGAAATTTTGAACGTACCTCAAAGGAAAACATTCTGTCTGTCATACTTCGAGCAGAAACACCGTCGGCAACAATGTGGACGTCATAGTTTCGTTCAAGAAGATCCAGAGCTGTTTGTTGGACACAGACGTGAGCCTGGTGAAATAACAAAAAATTTTGATGCGAAATTGATGTGCGTAATACAAAATGACTGAAAAACGGCAAACTTCGCAAGGCTATATTTATATTATCTGCATTTTACAACATTTTGCAACGAAACTTTGGAATATTACTAATTTTGTGATGCTCTTTCATGCTGTGATGAAATTTTTGTCTAGATCAAAATTTAGTCTATAATGCAAATTGTCCATTATCGGTCAATCACAAGCTAGAGGTTAATGCCTACAGATCAATGAAGCTAGGGTCTTTGCTTGAAATCCTGAAGTGTTTTTACTTTTATGAGGTAGCTTAAACATAGCAGTTTATCAAATATCTCATGTCTGACCTCAATTCCAAACAACACGATGGACTTTACATCTGACAACTCTTTCAGTTTCTCCTCCACCTCGGGAATGAGCATCGAGAAGACTGTTTTAGGATAAGCTGTAATGCCAGTCATGTCAATTTCATTTACTGTCTTGCCAAGACCTTTTGGGTACTATGAAGATATCAATAAAGAAATTAAATGTAATTTTTGGAATAGCTTAATGACTTCATTTGTAAGAACTGCTTTACAGAGCAAAAATATTGCTTCGTTCTTCAGAAAGCCTATTCTTACACCTATGGAATTAAGGTATCAGTTTACCGTCACCTAAATTTTCAAAAGTTGATGAGGTTTTTTTCTTCATTATTCACCATTTTAAAGGCGTCAAATTTGACAAATTTTGGCTGAAAATTCAAGAAATTTTGGGAAATTTTTTTATGAATTTTTTTATTGGCAAACACTATATAGTCCATTGTAGGATATATTTCAAAAGTATAATTACAGACCATATTCTTGCAAAATTTCAAGAGAAAACAAATTTATAAAGCACTTTGTATAAAAATAAGACAACTAATGAAAAATAATCAAATGATGAAAAATAATTAATCAAATGAAAATTTTCACACGACTCCTGATAACCCATGCGGGCGAGTGACGGTAAACTGATACCTTAATTCCATCTGCCTTAGAATACATGCTTCCGTAAAGCATTGAGTATGTCACCTTGGCTATAAAGCCTTGTTTTCATGACCGAGACATGGACTATAAACTGATGTCACATACATGAAAATGAGGCTCTATAGCTAAAGTGGCCTGTTTGGTACTTGCTTTTGCCAGGTGAAATTTCACAGTGTGCTCACAGTTTTAAGGTTTTGACATGTATTAAATTTCTACCTGCTCTGTAGCTATCATTGGAATATCCATTATCTTGGCAGTTTCAACCTACAAATGCAAACAATCATTTATATAGTAATACGTAGCGACCATAAATATTTACAGCACTGTATGCATATAAAATTTCAAAATTTGTTCAAAAGAATCAAATTTTATTTCAACAAGAGAGAATATTAAAGCAACCTTACCATGCGTTTTGCAACCTGGATTACTTCTGGAAAATATCTTATAGACGAACGAAAACTTTCTTGCATATCGCATAAGAAAAACGCGGTTGTTTTGGGCAACAACTTTCCAAGTCTTTGAGCGGCCATCTTGAATCAACGTAACTACGGGGGGAGTGATGCACTTCTAACAAACGACTATTCTCGATTTTTTCGTGTGTAAAAAATTGATTATTCTCTTTATAAACGGGGTTATTGAAATGGTTTGAAAAGCTAGTCATAATCTAGCTTTCTCTGGAAAAAGGTGCTTATTTTATACGATAAATATCTGTTTATAAGCCGCATAACCACATTTCATGTTGCTTTTATTAATATTTTACAAATTTCTGTTTTTGGTAGTGGTACCCCCCGGAAAACAAGCTGTAGTTGCCGATTGCTCAACCTCTGAACTATATAGGCGTAAGGTCTAAGTGTTTCAAAAACTTACAAATTTGCAACAATGCCACCAAGGAAAAAGAGACGGACCGCGGAAAATAGTGGGAATTCTAGTGAGGATGTGCCGAAGACTACAAAAGATGAAACTGAGGTTCTAGGAATTATAATTCTACTATGAATTTGTTCTAGTTCTAAATTTATATAAAAAACAGAAATGGCCTACACTTGCGGGATGCAGGTGGGGAGGGTCAACATCCTTTTTTCTTGTTGCGGAGAGTGTAGGATCATGCATTCTAGAAACTAATTTGCCGAAATGCAAGCAGGTATAAAAGTCAGACTGGATCGCTAGTTGGGCTGGAATGGTCCCAACCCTAACCCCAAATGCATGTAACCCAGACCCTAAATAGCCCAGAATGTCAGGCGTTCTACCCTGACCCTCAGCGGAATAGCGATCCAGTGCGACTTTTACACCTGCCTCTGTCAGTGTTTGGGTCAGCCTTAAGGTTGGGTCTGGTCCATACTTAGAGGGGGCATATCTCGGGCAATTGTCAATCTCCTTGAGAAAATGCAAACTAGCAGTCTAGCTAGCACACAGAATACCATTGCAATGGCTCTAGATTTTCAAACTTCTGAGGGAGCATGCAATTTCTGAGTCCATGTTTCGGTATAGGCCATAATTGTTGCCTGGGAAATGTCCCTGACCTGTTGTCAACTGGAATTGTTGCCCCAATATGAGCAAACCTTATTAATAACTTTTAATTTCTTGCAGCCCACAAAGAAGTTTACAAAATGGCTGATGAAATCTGAACCAGAAAGTCGTTTTCAAAAAGGAGTTGATGTGAAGGTTTGATTTCAGATCCGATGTGAACAGTTGTCATATTCGTTAACTATGTGCACTACCAGTGTATTATTGTATAACATTTTTAGTTTGGTATAGAAGATCTTAAAGAATCACCTGATCAAACGACACACTGGGATGGTGTGAGAAATTATCAGGTACAGAAACATTAATTTTTTTAATGAATATTTTTGACACCTTGGACATCCTAAAACATTTTACGATTATGAGACGTAAATTTTCCCCCTCAGATAACAGCAATTGAATTCCTTCATTTTGTGCAATGAGACGTACTCGTACATGTATACTGATGTAGTCAGAAACTTAATGAGTAATTTTAATTTATAGCCCATTAATGACGACAGCTTGACTAGATTAGTTAGCAAGGATGCATTGCTGTTCAATTCTACTGATTATAAAATGATATATATATACCTGTAACAGGCTCGGAATTTCATGCGAGATCAGATGAGGATTGGTGAGCTGGCATTTTTCTATCACAGCAACTGTAAGGAACCTGGTATTGCTGGACTCATGGAGGTACATAAGTTGTACTTGTATATTTCACAAATGGTTCTAATTTCTCTAATATGGCATGCTTGCTCAAATTCGTATTCATGAGATTGGGAGAGAAAATGCTCGATCAGGAATATAAATTAAAATAAAGAGAACATTCATAATCATGGCAATGGTATTATAAACTATAATCATTTCTTCACAGGTTGTAAAGGAATCCTATGTAGACCACACTCAGTTTGATAAGGCAGATCCACATTATGATCCGTAAGTATAACTGTATAGTCTATTAGCCAAATCTATTCAGCCTCTGCATAATTTAAGTTTTTACTCCAACAAGTACAGTATTAAGAGGATTCATAAGCCAAGAAGTATATTATTTATATATCAATTGTTGAGTTTTTTAAAATCTTTTAAAGGAAAGCTTCAAAAGATACGCCCAAGTGGTTTATGGTCGATGTCAAGTATGTGCGAATGATGAAACGATATATTTCTCTAAAAGAACTGAGAAAAATTCATTTGGTAAGTTCATGTTGCCCTGAGCTTCTGTTAGACAGACTGTGCACAGAAATATTCTAGTTACCGTGGTTATTAAGTGTGCTGGAAAGTCATTCTTGTAAACTGATTAAGTCAGTCTACAAGTAGATTATTAAATTTTGGATGCTTCTAGGCAGTTGATCCCTGTCTGTAGTAGTATAGACCATTGAGAAAAATGCACTGCCATTAACTTGACCTAATAATGCATTGCGTTCCCGGTTTTCAAACGCGTCTGGAACACAATTCTGAACGCATTTGAAATAAATTGCGTGATAATTTTCTTATTACGTTTTTCAAATAGGACCACAAACAAAATGGAGGATCGTTGAAATCATTATCTTTGTTTACTCAATCAAGACTTTCAGTTGCACCCTTGACCGAAGGTACTGTAGGTTGATAACATTTGTAAACGCAACTTAGAAAGTTCAGATCAGGAAAAAATGGGATCTTTATTCTTTACTGTAACATGGCCAGGTGTTTATATGGCCTAGCTGTGTTATTGAACGTATTATTAATGAGGTCCACTGTACTTCTATTTCTTTTATAGAGGAATTTGAATATATTAAAAGCCTTGAGGAGAAGGAAGAGGCTTAGATCATTCATGACGTATATGGTCATACAGGCTGTCATTCCATTGGAAATTTTCCATGTTATGTTCGAGTCTTGTTAAACCAGGTTTATGGATGGAAAGAATTCGGAAAGAAAACTACATTGCCCTTTGTACTGAGATAGAGATTAATTGTTTTGTTATAAACTTTTCATATACGGAAAGAATTATGAAAGGAAACTGCTTTGCCCTTGGTAGAGATAGAGATTGTTACTGTATTATTGCTATTTGTGGAGATGAAAAGATTGTTTTGTTACCATTGTAGTTATGTTACTTAGCTTAAAAAGGGACAAAGATACATTCACATGTTCACTTGTAAATCATAAAAGATTACATTCATTTATCTAAGTAAGTATGGTGAGTCATCTTATTGGTTTGTGTATAAATTTCTCGTAGCTGTGATTAGGAGTGCTCACGTTAGCTGCCAGTAACTTCCAGACAAAGAGCCTCGCAAGAAATGTCGGATTAGTATTTTCTTTACTTTCAGACATTTGTATTCTCCAACCAACTCCTGTGAATATTACACACAAGTTCACGACAATGCAATGTCATCCATGTCACGGCCATGCATCAGGTTATGAAAAACTTAATATAATTAAATTAAACCATCTTAAATTCTATTTATTTCTTAAATAAAGCAATGACTACTGTACATATGTACAACAGAATAAACTGAAAAATTTACATTACAAGTATACGCTGCTATACTACAAATAGAAAGTTGGCTAAAATTGTAAGTATATATTAATTAAGCAATACATATTAGGGACTGGTCATAAAGTAAAAGGGGGGTGGGCTGGGAAAATCATATATTTGGTGTCTGAACTTTTGGTAGCCCACCCATTAATAGCTGCACGAAAATTTGTAGCCCACCCTTAAATCGGTGCTGAAAAATTATGACCCACCCCTTTTCCAATTTTTCCTGGAAAAATGTTTTTCAGACAATACCTCCCCTCGACAACTTTTTTAGGTAAAAATTTTTTCCGTACAAGTACATTGCAATTGCTTTCCAAAGACTTTATCTTAATTTTTCATACCAAATTTCGGTACTTAGCCCAAAAAACAGATATCTTGTTCTTTGCGCGGAAATTTTTAACACAAAAAAATGACTGGGGCCCAATTTTCTGCATATTTTTACATGGCCCACCCAGGGTCTTAGCTAGAAGGCCGTGTTATCACGGCCAAAAATGGAAAAACACGGCTAGATAAAATGAACGTGGCTTCATTATTTATATAAGGCTGTGTACGTTCATAAAATAAGATGGTGCTACTTACAACAGACAGAATTTCTTTCTATTTACGTCATAAGAAAGTTTATTTGTTGTTGAAATTGGCAAAAGTGATCCGTGATGTTTTAATGGATAATGGGAACCGTGTGTTTAAAGTGGTTTTAAGTTTTAAATACCCCCAAGAGTTGCTGAAATAACTTAATGTTTTAATGACAGTGCGCAATATGAGTATATGCTCGCCTTGTATTTGGTTGCAAAGCACAGAACAACCACAGGCATTGTATGTTGTTGTTGAACTGTGAATTTGGCTATTTGAGGTAATTGACATATGCACACCCTGGTTATTTAGAAACACGCCCAAGATCCAAAATCCTAGCTAAGACCCTGGGCCCACCCTTATGATTGCACTTATAAACTTTCGATGACCCACCCCTTCAACCGTGCTCAAAAATAGTGATCCACCCCCTATTTTTCCCAGCCCACCCCCCTTTTACTTTATGACCGGTCCCTTAGCATATTAACCCCTTTTAAAAAAATATGAACCCGAGTAAGAAAATTAAAATCTCTCAATTCTATTGAATGATTATTTTCCCACCCTCACTGATAAACTCTGATGATAGTGCTTAGTGAAACCCATTTACAATGTATCAGAAAAAATTTAAATTGAAAACGTTAAAATTCTTGAAAAATTACTTTAATTCTTGAAAGTTTAAATTCTTGCTGATTCTTGAAAAATTAGCTTAATTAAATTCTAGAAAACTTAGCTTAAGTTCTTGTAGTTTTCGTCAATGGCAAAAATGGTATTCAAAATGATTTCACGCCAGTTTTCGCCTTTCCGCAATTCCTTGAACTTTGTTGGTTTCTCAGATAAATGCTGTACTTTCTCTGAAGGTTGGTGTGGGATGTTAAGCATTGCAAGTGTTTCCAGGAATTTATCCATGTGTGCAGTTGATAGTACAACATGTCCACAGCAGGAAGCATTTTCAACGCTAAGAAAGAGGAATTGTTTTCATTTTTCTTTTCACTTTTATTTCCTTTTCACTTTATTTCATCTCATATTTCATGACATAATATGTTGCTTGTATTTAAATTTGTGGCTTTTTGTGGTATTAAAATGTACGCAAACTTTAATGCATTAGTAAGTGAAATTAAAATTCCTCCAATTTGGAACAATATATATGAAATCTATGAGGTTGGGTAATATGTGAGCTAATTAACCCATTAAGCTGTAGAACTTCCCATTGACAAGTAAAATCGTCTGGCGTTAGACAAGCGTTAGACAAGTAAAAAAAAAGTTGGGTGCACTGGGGGGCATTACGGCTCAATGGGTTACCTAGAGACATTGTCAGATTTTTTGGTGTAAAAATATAAGTAGGGTGCACTGGGGCGCATTGTGGCTCAATGGGTAATAATTAACCCATTGAGCCACAAATGTGCCCCACTGCACCCTACTTATATTTTTTACACCAAAAAATCTGACAATGTCTGTAGTTAACCCATTGAGCCTAAGTGTCCGGATTGGAAGCAAAAAAATGATAAATAATTTTGAATAACTAGCCGATGTAGAAAATGAGAGATAATTGAGTTTATTAAAAATATGCAATATTTGAATAGCAGATTTATGGTGGAAAGGAATACAATCAGCAAAAATGAAATTAATCATTCAACCACACTGAGGGAGATATATCATATATGGTATACTTTAACCCTACTGGTACCTGTTCTTGTTGCAAGCAAAATGCATTCCTGTCGCTGTGTGAGGATCGATAAGGTACTTCCATTCCAACCAAGATTGTTTCATAATATTCACCATTTCTTCATGAGAGACAGAATGTGAGCTGAGGACGGCAGACATCTGAAACAAGAACAATACACAGACTATGACGGTTGCATACTGAAATTACAGGATACAGAACTGGAACACCCTCAATACCATTTAGAATAAAAATCACACCTTTTTTCGTGCCTCCTGTGGTACTTCACTTTTGCCATTTTTCTCATAACTAGACAGAAATTCCTGTACTTCCTTTGCTCCAGAGAACAAAAATATCACTCTCTCAAAGTTGGATGGAACCTGCATGTAATATTACCGAAATTAATCAGAGATGCACTGTCAAATTACAATAACTATAACTTACAATGGTTTTGTTTATGCAAAACTGTGTACCTGTATATCCATAGCTGGTGCAATAGTTATCGAAGCTTGCTTGGGACAATATTCTCCATGAGTTATGGCTCGATGAACTGTGTCGTTTATGTTTGTCGTGCAGGTTATTTTTATTGGTAATCCCATCAGATAGGCAATACAACCAGCTGAAAGGTAAAATGAGTAAATTATTTGGTCAGGCATCTCTAATAAGGATACTCAAGGTATGTTATGTGGATTAAAAGAAACCATATATACTCTGGGATGGATTTATTGGAGGGACATACAGGGGCAAGGGGATAAAGGAGGTAGCATTTATATACTGTATTTCGAAGATCAAATTTTAGTGATTGACTGAGTGTGCAACAATCGGAAATTACCGATTACCAATTATTCATGCAACAACTTACCTGATACGAATGCCGATTTTATAATGGCGTCATAATATCAGTCGACCGATTAAAGGTGACGTCATTCATGTCGAATTTTAACAATAATTTCCAACATAAAATGTTATCGCAACCAAAGATTGTTAAAACCGTTTAAAATAAATGGCATGCTTCCTGCATTAATTTAACATATTGCATTAAAATGCAACGTCTATCAACGATCAACATGCAATGCATATAATTCTTGAAGTGCATATTTTCTCAACAATCGGTTTTAGACAATCGGAAATAATTAGATCATTCTACCGATTCCGATTGTCTACCGATAAGGCAAAAATCGACGGCCTGATACCGATTATCGGACAATCACTATCAAATTTACTAACCATAAATAGTAGACAAGTCAACTACCTGTTACATTTCCCATTGCACCGGTTGGAACAATGATATGCACCTTGTCTCCAGGGTTATTACACACTTGAAAATAAACGTAGAAATAGTGTACGATCTGAATCATGATACGAGCCCAATTTCCAGAGTTAATGGTGCAAAGATTGTATTTCTTTACAAGATCCGGCTTCTTCAAAATACTCTGTAGAACAATGTCCAAATCATCTGAATTTCCCTCAGCGGAAAAGACATGTACATTTTCATCCAAAATGGTTGTCATCTGCAGTTCTTGTACGTTTGAGCAAGCACCTTTTGGAAACAAGCAAATTATATCAATATTCTTAAAACTGCGTACGCTTTCGATGGCCGAACTGCCAGTGTCGCCTGATGTCGCAACAAGAGCAGTAACATGGCAGGAGTTCTTCTTGTTGAAATATTCAATGAACTGAGTGACACAAGTGAGCGCCAGGTCTTTGAATGCCAATGTTGGTCCATGCCAAAGTTCTGCTACGTGGACGTCTCCAACAACTTTTTGAACTGGAATTATCTCTTCATGATCAAAGACATTGGTAAATGCTGCAGTAATAATTCCTGTATATTTAAAAAATAATATCATTTAAAGTGCATTAATGCATAAATGAACATGGTGTGTGGTGAAAAATACCATGTTTAATATTTCAGAAATTTTGAATTTCTAGGTCTCTATAGAACAACACTTTAACCCATTAAGTTGCATACTGTTGCAATGTGCCCTAATGCACCCTACTTTATTATTTTACTGTCTAACACCACACAATTTTACTTGTCAAGGGGAAAGCGCTGGTACTAAATTGGGTTACCAGACTATCTGCCCATGTATTATTTTGTATTGAGCCCTAGCCTACCTTATTCTTTACTCTAATGCCTGACAATTTTACTCATCTGGAGCTTAATGGTTTATAATTTATTATAATTATTGGTCAACAAATACATTGGGCCATTCCATTTAATATTTATACTCCCAGTGGATACAACTTTTTGAGGGGGTAGAAAATTCTACTTTTCCAAAAGGCCCCCAAATCTCTAATTTCTGAAGGGGCAATCGCAATTTCAAAAAAAAAATTAACAGAATTGAAAATTTTCTGAAGGGCTCAGGAAAGAAATGGGCAGATTTCCAAAGGGGGTTTCTTGCCAGTAAACCTTGTCTACAGGTATTTTCAAAGGAGTTGAGAAAAATTGGAAATCTCCGAGGGTGTTTGGTAAAGCTAAAGAATTTTTGAAGCACATTAGCAGAAACCAAGCAGGAACTAGAAAGTTGTTCCCCCCCCATTTCCAAATGGGTCTAAAATAAGAAATCTTGTTTCCAGGTGTGGGGGGGGGGGGGTAGATATTAAATGGAATGGTCCATTTTGTCACACTTCACACTTGTTCCATGAAGGCTGCCCCCCCCCCCACCCCATCACAGACGAGTCAAATGACTTGTTTTCCAAAATTAACTTGGCTATTGTAAAGGTTTTAACAACAATGTTTCTGGCATATCTATAATGACTCCGAATAGCGGAAGCTATTTCTGATGACTCTGATTCTCTGAAATATAGCAGTAGTCATTTCGTCCCACGCGAACATACTTTATTTGTCTATTTATATAAGCACGTGCAATTACTTTTACCGTTTAAATCGGCCGTCGGTATCTCCTCCTCTGATATAAATAATCTAGATATCGTTTTGCACATCTCTACGTAAGACAATTTCGACCATTGTTGCAATGTTTTCGAATCAACATTCGGCACAGATTCTGGCATAAACATGCCTCCATTTGAAGTGAAATTATTAAATAATATCTCTTCAAAAGATTTATTATTCACTTGACCACGAGTACTGCAATAACGCATCGTTGCAAAACTGATTTATTTCTTGAAATTAATGAACTCAGGACAATGATTGAAGACGCTATATCTTCGGTCCGAGAATCTCAATGTTTCCCGAGACGAACACGTGTCGGGACCTTTGAAGTTCGTGAACCACGCAGCTAGCGTCATTTCCACGCATCGACCAGTTTGCGCCAGGAAATATTTTTCCTGATGCACAGAAATGTCAGATATTTTCACCGAAAATCAAGGGATCCTGCAGTCAGAAAGTGTTTTTGTGAACTCGTAAATCTGCTTGGTTCTTGGTTAACAAAGTTATTTTGTGCAGATTCTTCGGAAATTATTTGCAGTTTTTTATAACTTGAAAAATTTTGCGCAGATTTCCTTAATTGCAAGAATTTTTGCGCAGGAAATTAATATCCTCCAAAGCCAAAACTTTACCGGTCTGGCTTCAAATCACTCGGAGAATAATTCGCGCAATGGTGTACGGGGATACTGAAGGGAATGCAATCATTGATCTAATGTCAGTGAGTGCAATTTTATCGAAGTGCAGTGCCAAAACATAAAATGTTGGAAGCGCAGAAACAAAAGACATTTTGATTTAAGTTTTCATTTCGGAGTAAACGATTTATTTCGCATGTGTTCACGCGTACAAGTGAGCACAATTTGCATAATTTTTAATGAAAATTATTGATACGTAATACTAAGGTTTCTCGTCCAATTTGAAAAAACAGAGTCAGTTTTTCAAAGACTTCACGAGTCTCTCATTCAAAAACTTACTCATCCCCTAATTTGTACTCGAAGCCATACTATTACCTATACAAATATCGCTAAAAGTGTATCTGAACTCTGAAGCTATGTTTACACTATACCTATCCGATACGGAATGTATAACTTTCAGAAGTTGAGCGAAACAACATCTCTCCGTTGCAATAATTATAATTCCTCTGAAAAATAGCGTTCGGATAGGTGTTCTTACGTCGCAACGGAAAGCTATATCCGGTACAGTGTTAAACGTACCCTGAAATCGTTTATCACTCATGTTTATCACTCATGCAGGAAATTAAAAAGTTGATTAATAATTAATGTGACATTTAAGGTTGATTAGGATGGATGCGCCATGATATTAATCTAAAACTTGTGAAAGCATTTTTCATTTTTGCTATATATAAATATTGCTTTATCAATAATTTATCAAAATTCGAAATGGGAAAACCTTGCACACAATTCGCCCACGACAATGTAGATTAGTTGTGCGCTTGAGTTACACAGTACAACTCTCAAGTTGTGAGCAGGTTGCATGCGACAGTTTTAGGCAAAAGTTGTGTAGTGTATAAAATCTTTAAATCGATCTTGAGAGTTGAGTATGGTGGCCCAGCATTACCATAGTGATATACCTGTTTTATTTACAATAAGATGTGAAAAAATAGTTAAAAATTAATAAAAGCAATATAAAATTAAAATTTAAAAAAATACATGACATAAAAATATAGAAAAAGTATTTGAGTAAAATTTAAACCAAAAACAAAAAATAAATTAAGAAAAAAAAACGAAAAAAAAATCGAACAGAAAACAAATTCATAAATTTATGAAAAACTGAAAAAACAATTAAAGGCACTAAAACATAAAAAATATAAAA